GCAGTCCAAGCTACGCTGGGCGAGACGTGTGCACTGGTGGTCAAACCATGGCTGTCAGATTGACTCTTTCATGCCGAGCGTCAGTATGGGTTTAACATCAACTGTGCAAGGGAGCAGGCTCTAACTTTTGTACGCAAAGCCCCCACGCTGCCGAGCTCAAGGGGTAGTCGAGAAATGTGCACTAACTATTCTACGCAAAGCCCCCACGCTTCCGAGCTCAAGGGGTAGTCGAGAAATGTGCACTAACTATTCTACGCAAAGCCCCCACGCTGCCGAGCTCAAGGGGTAGTCGAGAAATGTGCACTAACTATTCTACGCAAAGGCCCCACGCTGCCAAGCCTTTTTGCGCTCTAACTACTCTACACAAAGGCCCCACGCTGCCAAGCCTTTTTGCGCTCTAACTATTCTACACAAAGGCCCCACGTTGACCGAGCTCAAGGGGTAGTCGGGAAATTCTGCGCCACTATAACCCCTAGAGATGAGGTCTGAGCCGGGTGTAGTTTTTTACAGGTCCGAGTATTTTGAAACATACCCGGCGGGTCCGAGTATTTTGAGACATACCCGGTGGGTCCGAGTCCGGGTGTTACCACCAAAAAAAAAAAAAGAAAAAAAAAAGTTTGATTGATGAATTGAACACTCTTCTAGCGCTCGTATCCATGTTATTTTAGCTGTTCACAGCGCTCTGATGTCCTCAAATCTTTTTAAGAAAAACAATTCTTTAAATGTTTCTTAAACGATTTTTGTTATCATTTTCAATTTCCCTCAAAGATTGAGGCAAACTGTTCCATAATTTTGGCGCTATAGCTTCAAAAGAGCGCACTCCGTGTGACTTCTTTCTTTGTCCATCAACACTGGGAACTCTCAGTAAGGACTGAGTTTCTCACTTCTTATTTTATATAATGTGGTCCACCCAATGGGGAGAAGTGAACAATGCATGTACAGATCACGACGGCATTAAAATTGAAAGATTCAAAACACCAATAGATTAATAATCTAACCCTACGGTAACTTAGGGGTTCTCAACCTTTTTAGAGTCAAAAATCCTTTATAACATGTACCAAGTTGTGGCGATCAACAACCTTGAAATTGTTGTTGTTGAATATGGGGGGAGGGGGGGGGCAGAGCGTATTTTTAGCTAAAAAGGGGTTGGAGCTTCAACTTTGATCGGGGGTCGGGAATAAATAAGTCAATTTCCAGAAAAGTTTTTGGGGGGGGGGGGGGGGTGGAGAGCGTATTTTTAGCTAAAAAGGGGTTGGAGCTTCAACTTTGATCGGGGGTCGGGAATAAATAAGTCAATTTCCAGAAAAGTTTTGATAAATTCACACACTTGGTTATAGTTTTGAGTGGATACTGCCAACTTTAAAAAAAACATTGGGTGGAGGGGTAAAATTTTTTTTTTTTTTTAAAGCAACAAAAACTATAATTCACATATAATTTATTTGTTTATGAAAAGAAACAGCCAAAATATTTATATCAAATTAGCCGCTGAAATCTCCCGAATGAATCCTAGTTTTTATTTTTTGTAACTGTAGTTTAGTCAAGAGTGTAGTCAAAATAGGCCTACAGAACGACTACGATCACTGTAATATTTAATTTTTTTAAAATGGAAATTCAAATAATAAAAAATGCACATTTATATAATAATAGATCGTCAGTCCAAATCGACTATGACCACCGTAATCATCGTATATCGTATTTGTGAACTTGGCTGTGGGTGTGGCGATGGCTGATGAAGCCAATCCTGGTACGAAATGTTCCTGTGAGTAGGTGCAGGGGATTGATGGGACATCTACAGGCGCAGAGTTAACCCGGGCTTTTCCGGCTTGTCTTTTGTGCCCAGAAGCCGCAGTTCTGTTGGCTGCATGTTGTGTGGAGCCTTAGTGTACACGGGCACGCCACGATGCTCGATCCTTGGCAGAATCCTGCCGCAGTTCTGTTGGCTGCATGTTGTGTGGAGCCTTAGTGTACACGGGCACGCCACGATGCTCGATCCTTGGCAGAATCCTGCCGCAGTTCTGTTGGCTCCATGTTGTGTGGAGCCTTAGTGTACACGGGCACGCTACGATGCTCGATCCTTGGCAGAATCCTGTCGCAGTTCTGTTGGCTCCATGTTGTGTTGAGCCTTAGTGTACACGGGCACGCCACGATGCTCGATCCTTGGCAGAATCCTGCCGCAGTTCTGTTGGCTCCATGTTGTGTGGAGCCTTAGTGTACACGGGCACGCCACGATGCTCGATCCTTGGCAGAATGCTGCCGCAGTTCTGTTGGCTGCATGTTGTGTGAAGCCTTAGTGTACACGGGCACGCCACGATGCTCGATCCTTGGCAGAATCCTGCCGCAGTTCTGTTGGCTGCATGTTGTGTGAAGCCTTAGTGTACACGGGCACGCCACGATGCTCGATCCTTGGCAGAATCCTGCCGCAGTTCTGTTGGCTGCATGTTGTGTGGAGCCTTAGTGTACACGGGCACGCCACGATGCTCGATCCCTTGGCAGAATCCTGCCGCAGTTCTGTTGGCTGCATGTTGTGTGGAGCCTTAGTGTACACGGGCACGCTACGATGCTCGATCCTTGGCAGAATCCTGCCGCAGTTCTGTTGGCTGCATGTTGTGTGAAGCCTTAGTGTACACGGGCACGCCACGATGCTCGATCCCTTGGCAGAATCCTGCCGCAGTTCTGTTGGCTGCATGTTGTGTGAAGCCTTAGTGTACACGGGCACGCCACGATGCTCGATCCTTGGCAGAATGCTCCCATGGGACGGGTTTATACCGCATGCTTTCAGTGAGGCTTTTTGTTTGTCTTTAATGCATCCACCAGCAAACCGCATTCCATGCTCGAGCTCACCATAGAAAAGTCTTTTGGGCAAGTGGCTGTCTGACGTCCGCACATGTCCCACCCAGCGATGATGGTACTGAATTAAAATGATAAAGATGTTGGGGAGACCTGCCTGTGCCAGTACCCCAGCGTCTGGTACTCTGTCCTGCCATTTGATTCTTAGGGTTTACCGGAGACTTTGACATATGAAAGTGAAAAAATGCACATATAGCCACAGAAAACCTCAAATTTATGAAATTCTCAAGCCTTCATTGACTAGAGTGGTCCTCGTCCAGTCGACGGACGAACACACATTTTTACTGTAATACAGTATAGAGTTTATGGTAATACAATAAGAGTTGTCTGTAATACAGTATAGAGTTTATGGTAATACAATATAGTTTACTGTTATACAGGTGATTGTTACACGGGTTTTTAATTTGAAAGTTATTGTTATAATAAAAAAAAATTTTTCTATGCTCCCGTTGGATGACTTCTTATGATGGTCTGTTCATTTGAACATTTGTAATTTACGGTAGGTCCAAATAAACGTATCACTTGTATATGGATTTACTTCTTTCTCTCTCCTAACGTGTTTCAATGATCAGACTTGTTTAGCCTCAAACTCTTAAAATCGTACAATATCATCCCAAAATCTTTCAATGCATTATCTTAATGTTAAAAAAAACAAACATGCATTATATATAAACCATACACCTCAAAATCGTACACTGTACGCCAAAATCAAATTCGTAAGAGTAAACAGGTCTGTATCTCCTAAAATTGATCCCCCCCCCCTTTTTTTTTTGTATTGAATAAATACACAAGGAGCTTAGTTAAAATAACACAAAAACACAATTAAGATAATAAACACAATTCGAAGTAGTTGTTTTATTTTCACCATTTAAAACTGCATGACAAAGCATCCCTTAACAATGTACGAAAGTGCAGTAAGGTTGTACACGTACCCATGAATTGATCAAACTTGAAAGTGCAGTAAGGTTGTACACGTACCCATGAATTGATCAAACTTGACACAAATTAGAAATGTGGCGTTTAAATGACATGTACAGCCAGTGTTCTCACAATAGAAAGAGTCAAGAGCGACAACTTCTTGCATTTATTTGGAATTTTAAGTACAGCCCCCATTTGTGCTCTATAGGCCTACTGTTTCGATGATATCCATATAAAAAAAACGGGTAAGGTTACAATACATAATGCAGCCGTGGCTTTACAAAAGGTTCATATTCCACAACCTAAGCAGTGACAAATAGAAGGTCATACTAACATGAATCCCAACCCAGTAACATCATTGTCACGAACATATCATTCAATGATAAACATATAGATGCAGTTAAACACCTCTACATAATAATATAATCTATAGCTACGTGTTTCCCCGTCCATAAATAGTGCAAGTTGCTTAGATTTTCTTTGCTCTTACTTTTAGCTCAGGTCACACGATCTCATTTCTTTTTGAACGCACCATTTTGGTTTACTAAACAGTGTGTTCAAAAAGAAATTTGATACAATTTTGATCGTGTGAACTGAGCATAATACTTCGGCTCTTCCTCTCACAAAATTTTTTACACACACACAAAAACGTGGTCTGCAACTTTAATGTCACATTGAATGAATTCACACACACACACACACATAAGCGTGGTCTACAACTTTAATGTCACATTGAATGAATTCACACACATAAACGTGGTCTACTAACTAAACTGAAGGTGTGATCACAGCAATATATAGGTGGAAGCTCAAAAGTTAACGCTGGAAGGCAAGCTCTGGTCTCATGCCAAGAAACATTTTGGTTTGGAGGTTTAAAAGTGATTTGATTTAAAAACTGTGACTTGAGAGCAGAGGTACATTTTAGAATTCAAATAATAAAACTGTTCGCCGAGTTTTTATCTTCATCTTACCTCAAAATAAACTTGATTTGTGGACAATTTGAATACCGGTAGGTTGTTGTTTTTATTGGGGTACGAGGAGTGGTGATTTCCAACACATCATGACAGTCAACTACCATTGTGGTCATGTCAATTACCATTGTGGTCAAGTCAATTACCATTGTGGTCATGTCAGCAGCCCAACTGTCAACAAGTGGTCTAGAAATTCATTGATGCACTTAAAATTAAAAATAACCCGAAAGTTTGTTAAATTATAGTTTAAACCCCCCCCCCCCCAGCTTTGTCCACATATCTCAATCCTTTTCCTTTTCAATCTGTCCATTTCCCTTTCAGACACCCGGAGTCATCCATCAAAATATGACTATCTTTTTAAGCGTTCATTTATCGGTGCACAAATGAATACCAATGTAACTCATAAGCAGTTTTTGTATCTGTTAGCCAATAAAACATCATTGTGGTGCAGAAAGGGGGGGGGGGCGTTGTCACAAACATCTATTAAAACATACGAGGTAGTATGCACACACGTGTTAGTTAAGACGTGTACTGTACGATGACAGGTTCAAGCAAAGCCTTCTCACTTCTCTTATAGTTCCTTAAATTATTCACATGCATTTAGTTTTTTCAAAAAATTTAGAAAACTACAAATGACATACTGGACAACAACAATTGTTTGTTTCGCGTACACAAATAACCCCCCTCCCCCATATTACTACGTGTCCCTCCCCCTTACTGCCCAAACACATGGAAGAGCTTATAAACCGCATCAGGGCCGGCCTCTGACGCAAACAAATAAACCAATCGATAGCATCACGACCTGACTTCGTGATAACATCTCATTGAACCCGTGCTGCACATGCTCTCATAGCATTTCATCCAGACGGGGGTTCTCAAACATTCTCACATTTAGAGACGCTCTCGATCTATATCACCGATGTCTGTAGAGACTGATCGTATTTGTTGAAGTGTCGGTTATTTCTATAGAAGTATTTAGAAGCAAGTGGACAAAGTCAACACTCGCAGTTTCAATGAATATTTTCTTTTTAGAATCGCTTTATGTCAATCTTAGTTGGCATGATGTCAATCTTAGTTTAGTTGGCATGTCGGTCTTAGTTTGCACGACGTCAATCTTAGTTTACATGACGTCAGTCTTAATTTGCATGACGTCAATCTTAGTTGGTATAATAATTTCAATCTTAGTTGGTATGATGTCAATCTTAGTTGGAATAATGTCAATCTTAGTTGGCATAATGATGTCAATCTTAGTTGGTATAATGTCAATCTTAGTTGGCATGATGATGTCAATCTTGGTTGGCATAATGATGTCAATCTTAGCTGGAATAATGTCAATCTTAATTGGCATAATGATGTCAATCTTAGTTGGCATAATGATGTCAATCTTAGTTGGCATAATGATGTCAATCTTAGTTGGCATAATGATGTCAATCTTAGTTGGCATAATGATTTCAATCTTAGTTGGCATAATGATGTCAATCTTAGTTGGCATAATGATGTCAATCTTAGTTGGCATGCTATTGTTGCTTCTACTAAGAAAATATTCTACATATTTATGATATATTATTATGGAGAACCCCCACACCCCTCAAATTATTATCACGCTTACCGAAATACTTTTGTCGGTCGAAATCGAAACCATACATCATACAGTAGAGATTGCCCAAATCGAGGTACATCATACAGTAGAGATTGCCCAAATCGAGGTACATCATGCAGTAGTACAGCTGATGTAAAGTGATTACATCCAGCTGTTCCATGTCATTGATTTATTCATAGGTAACATTGTACACAGAGCAGTAACATTGTACACATTGCACTGCTGAGTGCCATGATTCAGAACAACAAAAAGCACCCCATACTCTGACAGGTGACATGGATCCTTACACCCACACAGTCCTTGGAGTTGGCTTTGGAAATATGTTTTACAAGTTACAATTATCTTTCACTATTTCCTCAAGAGGTCGTTTAAAATTGTTTGTTAAAAATTAATGTTCAACTTGCCAGAGTGTTACAGCATTTTTATGATGAGATTCTGTCCCCCGAACCAAGCCCCCTTAATGAGTTGTCTCTCAAATGTATCAAAAATAATAATCACTATATGTATATTATGTAAGTCCGAATGTATGAAGAACAATTAGATAGAAAAAGTTATAAACAGAGTACATTGTGTGCAAGAGTCATCACTAGATAGGATTCCTTTATTCCTTCATAGATGAGGCAGCTCCTTTGGTGCTACTCTTACTGAATGCAGTGTGACATAGTACAATAGCAGTATAATAATATACAGGTATTCATACATGAGCTCATGGGAAATCTCTTAATTGGAAACATTATTAGCTAAAACATCCTCTAGTTCTTGTGGAAATAGGGCAGAGTAAATCTTGAATAATCTCCGTCTCAGTGAAATGGTGGCGCTGCTGAGTACATGAACTTGACTTTTATTATTATGAAGGGAAATTTTGAGATTGACTTGTCTAATCCTATAATAAACCCACACGCACTATAATAAACTCAAATACAAAGAAATATTTTATGTAGATTAGATTTAACTACAGCTACAAACATGCCTTCAATAAAAACACCATTAACTTTTGACTATGCAGCAAAGTAAACTGAAAACAACAAAAAAAAACAACATTGACCCACTGAATTCAGATCAGTTAAAATGAAAGCCCGGCACAACTTAACATCTACATGAAGAATGAAATGGTTATTTGACCTAACAGAAGAAAATACAAGGAGGTGAGAAAAAAATGAATGAGGCATTTCAAAGTGATCAATGAATTCAAATGTCAGGGAACAAAATAGTTCACATAAGATATTCATCAAAATAAAACACAAATTGAAATAAGTAAGCAAATCAAAGATGAAATAATTAACATCAATGATTAATATATAGGGAAAATGATGGAAAAGATCTTGATTAACAAAACAAAGGCATATAGTCTGAAGACCTCTGTTTAGTCAAATACAGTAGTACCCCTTCATTTTAAGCCTAACTTATAATTTGTGAAGAGATTGTCATTACTTAAAAAGAAAAAAACTGCACATTATCTCTGTATAGGCAAACTTCTATACAATATCAAATATATTTATACAACACAGTCATTTCAATTTTTTGCAGTTACTCTTAACACATCTCACAAACCACATGGACACATTAAACATGAACAAATGGGGTGGGGGGGGGGGCGCCCATTATTTAGGTCATGTCTTATTAGTTATTAAAAGATGGTGGTTTAATTAATTTAGTATGGTACATTGCTTGAAGTCATATTAAAATCTGTCATCTGATCAAAATCATGCTGACCTACTTAAAAAAAATTGAAATCATGACCAAAACTGAAACAAAGGTAAAACATGGGGGCAAATGTACCGGTATAGGAATAAGCTTTGGAGATTCAGGAAAATTGGACTAGCAACACAAGTTCATATAACATATTTAATGATGTCATAATTTAATCATCCATATATCTATACATACAGGCATGCATTCATGTCAGCTCAACCCTTTTACAGGCTGTTATAAATTAAATCAAATATTTTAGAGTTTGTGCTGAAAAATAAAAATCCTGTGTTATCAATACAAAGCAGCTTTTAGTGTGCCCAAGGATCAACCACTGAACTCTGCATGCTGTTACTTATAATGTCAAAGGACATCTTCCATTGTGTTCACAATGCCCCTGGTGCGCATGCAGTAGTAGAAAATAATCAACAGAAGAGCACACAGACTGGCACACATTTCTCTTCACACAGCAAAAAAATCCAACAATTAAGGCTATTTTATTAAAGGGAACTCAGAAGCTATTGAGAGCTATTGAGGGACGCAAACAATATAAAAATAAGAAAGCATAATTAAAAAATAAATATGTATTATTTCTTGTCTTAAGGAATAATCGATGTGAAGTGAAAATGTACGCATGTTACTGGCTATATTGTTTTCTGAGCATTTGTAGAACACGTGGTAACAATAGCATTGTTATCAGATGAGCATGATTGGTTGATGCTTGTATAAAATATACTATAGTTTAAAGTCAAATTCGGAATGTCCTCGAAAAATTAAAAATATATATGTTAGAAAAATATTACGTAGAAATTATGAAAGGAGAGAGACACTGCATTTTATAAGATTGATATACAGGATAACATTTTTACATCTCACCTCCGCCTGGCCATCGAGTGAATTATGTTGTATTATTACATTAGATATTCTGTAGTGGAGTAATTTGTTTTCCATTGTCATATTAGAGATAAAATATAAAAACATAATTGAAATAAACAATGTCTTATTCTTCATTTTACAACTGCAGTCAGTCAAACTAGGCAAAAGAGAGAAGCTATGCAAGCGGTGTTGACAAACCAATGAATAGCTCACATGCACCAAAAGCAGAATGCAAACAAATTCAAAGAACATTCACTAGCAATATCATGCAACCCATTAACTTCAACTTCCTTCCTCATTTATATGACAGCCACCTAAAGCCACAGCCATCAAATGTTTGGACTGACTTAGAGAGAGAGCTGATGATGATGAGGCAAATGGTAATAGTTTTCATTCCTACAACACATCATTCATTAGAGATGCTTGTCTCAAATTCCTTCCCATATGAAAGCAAGGACATTTATTCTAGAAAAGAAAAAAAAAAAAATTAAGTCTAGAGAAAAGGGAGGCATCACGGCAATAAGACGTCAAAAAGGGAGTGAGTATGTTTTAAAAAAATAATAATAATTAAAAACCATATTTTGAAAATACTCACATACTTTCAAGAAGTTAAAAGTTATCTGTCACATATTAAAGCCTTTTAAAAAAAAATATTACAAAATACCCTTTTTTGTGTGGAGAATTTTTTAAAGAAAATTCGCAAATAGGGAGAGAATTAAGTCTTGAAAATCACTAACCTTTGCTGATATGGTTTACATATAAACTCATTTAAAGTTACACTAAAAGTTATAGGCTATATATAAGATGATACTTGGTGAGATTTCCTAGTTTTGGAGACAAGGGATGGTGTCAACATGTCAAGCTGTTGTACTTCACTTCAACCACACCTCTTTCATCTTTTCTCAAGTCACACTTTTATTGACTTCCCTCGAGTTTAAAATCAATATTATAGTTAAGTGATGTCTGGGAAGGGGGAATATACATTTGTTTTGGCTTTTTAGTGTTTTCAAATAATCAAGCTAACATGTAAATTTTTCATTAAACTCACAGAAAAAAATAATTAAAGTAATAAATTTAATAACTATTTAATTTAGGAACATTCTAGTGACAAGAAAATCATGATTAAATCATCTGGCACTATTTAATGTTTAAACTGAGTTACAAACTTAAATTATTGATTGAATAAACATAGCTAAAATAAACAATTCAGCATCATTTAGCCTATGTGTAATCTGTGACTGAGTCTGAAGTGAACACTATTGTGACCTAAAATATCTTCAAAAATCCATGTAAAAAAATGTATACATCTGACCTTGTGATATTTATTCTTTCATGACTTTTATATTACATCATGTCAAACCAGAAAGTACAAGTAGGAAATAATCAAATCTAAAAGAAACAAAAAGGGTCATTAAATGACATCACAAAAGCATTTAAAACTTTGTACATGCTTCTAATGGCAATGCAGAGAGGAAACTTTACAAACACATGCCAACGTTGTCCCAAGCATTTAAAGGAACATTTACTGTACAAATTCTGGTCAGGTGATTGGGGGAGTATGTTACCTCAGAATAAACATTGGATTAAAAACAAATAATATGTAAGATATCATATCCATCTGTATCATTTAAAGCTAAGAGAACTCTCACCAAGTTAGTGAGGTGCAGCATTTGTATATGTATGCAGACATTGGTGAAAGTCATTATAAAAATATCATACTAAAAAATCTAAGCTTTAGTTTAAAAAAATCAAATCGAACAAACGATGCATGTTACCCACAGATTTTTTTCAAATATTTCACATTTCATCAATATTTGACTTTTTAAAACAAACACATAGTTCGAAATAATACATGTCATATGAATGCAAGGAATAAGTGTCATTTTCAAATGCCTATAAAATTCGAAAGCCCTTGGATTCATTTAGGAGCACAGATCATGGTGGAAGAATGGATTTTCTGGTGGTAGCTCTGGTTCTGGCCCTAGATCTTGGTACTGTTCCATAGGTATTTATTTGCTTGGTCTGTCAAGGAGGAAATAGGGTATAAATCGTTAATGTTGGTCTGTTTATATAGCAAGCCTTGTAATTAATAATAAACATTATTTTATTTTTTACAAATGTTTATATCAGTTAGATTTGTTAATAGGAATTCATTGTTAAGACATGACAACTGCAATAAGTGAGGCAATGGAAATAATGCAACTTGATTGATTTTATCAATAACACAAATGGAAAAAACAAGAATTAAAAAAAAATATATATATATTTTCTTTCCTTGAAACTAAAATTCTAAAAATGGAAAGCTATAAAAAAAAAAGTCATGAGGGTGCATTCAAATCAACCTTTGTTAATCAAAAAAGAAGTACACATTTTAACAGGGGCCACATTCAGCTTTTAAAAAAAAATTTCCTGGGATTATGCAAAGCGCACACACACATTTAATGATTAATTTAAAACATAACAACATAGCTATGATTCTCAGAATTTATATTGAAATATAAATAATAGAGAATGCAGAAATTTCTGATGTTAATTGAATGAAATGGAAGATTTAACAGGTTATAACATAATTTTAAGGTACAATTACTGCACTGGATTTTATTCAAAATGTACCTTGCAATACTTTTTAAATTGCAGGCTTTTACTTTTTGTGTGCTGTATATATTTGAACAATTGTTTAAAACAAATTTATAAGTGATATCTTATTTTACATGGATAGTGAAAAATTAGAGAGGAACACTGTTTTGGGCAATGTCATTGTTTTAAGTAACTCATCGGAAGCTCAATCTACAAGGGTAAGAAATATTTTAAACTTAATTCCCTTTAAGTTTTATAAATTAAATAAATAAAACCCATTAAAAGAAAAGAACTTATAAAAATGTGCAAATGTGCTGGGAAAAGGATCACAGTGAATTTATGCTTTAAGTTATTTTTATATTATTATGAAGCCAAAAAATTCTAAGTATAAAACTTAAGTATCATTTGGTTTCACATTGCTAAGATATTGTGTGCACACCATCACCATAGTCCCTGCCCCAAAAGTTACCTTGCTGGATTTCTGCAAATAAAGCAGAAAATTTCTTATAAGATAACAATAAAAAAACATTGGCTCATAAAACTGAGGTTCAATTGAATGTTCTATATTTTGTTTATTTAATTCATTTCCTTTACTCTCCAGAGATTTTTCACAGTATCTCATTTTTAGATTAATTAAGTACTTCACTTTTTGATTATTACTTCCCTTTTTGATTATGATGCACCATTACAATTTACTTAAAAATATGCAACACAAGAAGACATTTACAGAAGGAAAATAAGTGTAAGATTATGTGTTGTTCTATTCCATGTCAAAATACATTTAGATATTTATTTCTCCATAATAGAATATATTTTACTTTAAAAAAAATAATTATAAGACATTTTTAAGGAAGCAATTTGATGTAAAAGAAAAACAATATTAAGATAAAACTTAAGTAGTTTAAAAGATAATTCTGCGGTTTAGATTTTTAGATTAAAATCTGACACAAAGATGTACAAGCTTAGTTAAATTTTCAACTTAGTTATCACTACTGACTGAAATAATATGGTATATTTAGCTACAAGATTAATAAAAGAGCATAAATAAATGAACAATCATTTCTTTAGACTGAAAGATTAATAGATAACACACAATTCAAAATGAAGTGTTAAAGATATGAAAAAATGTCCAACCTGAAAAGGAAACATTTTAAGCAAAAGCATTTTTTGGTATTAAAATGTAATAAGAGGTGGAAATAAATGAATGATAGCATGTAAGTATGTTAAATGTTTTGGGGAGAGCTACTATCAACTGCAATATCAATGGCCATCTATCTATTTTAACATTTCATTGCATTCTTGTCCAAAATGCAAGACGGGCAAACACAAGCTAGTTACCTCCTCTTGAAATCTATCATATAGTAGATGTATTCAGGTACGTAGGCTTTGTTGATGCTTCGAAAGTGGCCAATTCAAGGGACATCATGTTTGTGGGTTGTGATTTATTTTTTTAAATTTACATTTTTTTAAAAAACCTGACTGTTATTTTGCTATCTAAGAATCAAACATTAAAAATAACTACATCAAACCAAGTAATGAATGCTTATTCCTTATTCTGATGAAAATTTGATAACTGGATTTTGGGTGAATAGGACCTAAAAACAACATCACTGGTATCTGAGCTTAAAGAGCGGGAGCGGGGGCGAGACAGAGTACTGGGTGAAAAGGGGTGAACTTTGTGCCCGGTGCCAGTAAAGTACATGGCTTCCCCACCTCCGGTATCCATACTAGTAGCTCTAACGTATGACCTGTCCCGTCTTGATCCTCTTGTGCCGGGCTGCGTTGTGGAAGGGGATTTACTTGCAGCTTGTGATGAACTGCCAGCACCATACTGAGGTTGCCAGATTTTAAATGGATCAAATTTACTCTCATCCCCACGGTTCACGACATGAATTGGTGAGCTAATTTCTGATACACTGAGATTAGAAGAAGATGGCAAATAATAATCCCTGGCAGCAAATGAGGTAGGAGCCACCTCACGGCGAAGTCTTGCCATTATCTGAGTAAATTCATCTCTGTACTGATTCTTGGTGGATGAAGAAATAATAGGTGTACTTCTAGAGTGTGATTCATCAGTGCAGTGTTTAGATTCTCTTATGCAAGTTGCAGGGCTGTTTGGGGCACTCCAAGGACCATAAGTTCCTTTGGCATTATCAAAATTCAATATACCTTCACTAGTTGAATCACTTTTCTGGTACCCAGGTGAGTCCAGGGAACTCAGTTCTGACAGCGTCTCCCAGTTTCCACCATCGCTCCATTCAGAACAGCTATCAAAATCATCATCAAACACCTCTAGACTCGAGCTTCTAGGTTCAATATCAGATAGCTCAAATGACTGATGTCGGATATCCTCACTTTTATTAGTTTTGTCTGAATCATCTTTTTCATCAACGTTAGTCTTCCAAATACGACTGGGTTTGCTCTCATCACCTTTAATTAACAAATCAGAATGTGGATCAAGTGATGCAGGCTTTGGTTCACTGGCTAAATGACTTTCTACAGCATCAATGTAAATTAAATCATCTTGCTCACTTCCCTCATTAGCTGTGTTAAAGATGTTCACTTTGGATTCTCCTACATCTACTTCAATGACTTGAGATAACACAGAAGAGACTGGAGATTTAGATTCTTTTTCTGAACTTTGGGATATGGGGCTGGATTCCAGTGGAGTGAATTCCTCTATGACAGGGAGATCACTCAAGAATCTTGGAAGACTTCTCCAAATTGCTATGGGCTCCTCAATTTCTTTGACAGCCACTGCCATATGATCTGATGACCTTTCAAAGTTATTTTTCTCCATCATCATTTGAGTTTTGGAATCACTTTCTGGGACTTTTATTTCCAAACTAATGTAGGGTTCATGTTTCACTTGTGCAACTGCAGCAGGTTTTTTAATCTCTTCACCTTCTGGCAATGCAGTGGAAAGATGAAACCTTTTGGCTTCTACTGTTGCACCATAGGGTGAGAGAGATAAGATATCTGATCTTAAGGAAGTTGCCCTTTCTTCAGACTGAGACCTGCCTAATAACTTGTTCTTATTCTTTAAAGACATTTGAGATTGAGTGGGTGAAAAATGTGGTTTTAAGCCACTATCTTGAGATAAAGATCTGGACAATAATTTGTGTTTTATGTTAGCGGTATTGGAAACTTCAACTGTTTGGGATTTATCTTTAACATTCATTTCTTGAGATTTTACACTGATTAATTTTGGATTAACTTTAGGGCCTAAAGATGGCTTTGTAACAAGAGTAGAAGGAGGAAGGGACTGGCTGCGGAGCTTGCGATATGCTGGAGATATGCTTTCCTAAAAATATAAAACAGAAGAAGGAAAGAAAATGCCATTACTGAAGTAAAAAAAAAAATAATAACCTTAAATAGGTTGATGACAATAATAAAAAAAAAGTTGAAAGCAACCTCTAATTGAAATAAGAAATTCACCAAACCACACTTGTTCAGATTATTAATAAAAAACCGTAACCACAAAATAAATACTATTTTAAAATCTAAAACCCTTTCTCACATTTTGTTGGTTCCCATCAAAATGCCAGCCCTGCTGCCAAGTTGTGTTTCCATGAGTATTCTAGGCTTTAAAAAAATCATATTATTTTTCTAGTAACTGATTAATTTATATGTGATGCCCAATGGTGCTAAATATGGAAATGTTAGTAGAAATGGTTTATGCACCAGCTAGAAATAAACATACAAAATAATAAAGAGTAATTTACTGTCTTTAAAATGTTAAATATGATGAACACACATTTTATATTGCCCATTTGGATTTTGCTTTTCAACTTTTAAGTAACAAACTAAGTGTGTAAAAAGAAAGTGGTTAACTGTTCAATATAAAAGATTAGTGATTGAATATTTTTTTTTGTATCATGAATATTTGGATTTTTAATGAACGCCTGGAATATTTGCTACTAATTATATTATATCCAACACTGAAGCTAGAAGTTCAATACCATGTAGCCAGAGATTTTTTGTAGTTATTTGCTTCCTTTACAAGTTAATGACAAGGCAGTGGACATGTTAATCCCACCGGTTGGCAAGGGGGGGTAAGTTCAGTTGCTAGGAGAAAATTATCTTTAAATCTATTTTTCCTTCTTCAAATTTTCAACTGAAGCCATCTTATAATCAAACATGAGGGCAGCTTAAATCAGACTTAAATAATCCTCCACCTCAGTACAAAAGGTTAATGAGACATGCTCATAAATGAACTTGTCATACGTATTGAGAGCTGCGTCTCAACAAAAATGATCATTTCAAAAATAACTGAAGGGGGTATAAATTATATTCCATAACAAAACTGAAAACAATCTACTGCAAATTAAATTATAAAAAAGAAGTTGCTTTTAAAAATTCAGAAGCAGAGAGATAATTGTGTGTGTGCTATATTTGTAAAAGCAGGTTTTTCATCAAATGTATTCACACTGTTACAATCAGTACAAATGCATGCTGCAGTGATATTCTCCATAGGTTATATATGAAAGAAGTTGATGAAATAAATTTTTGTTGTTGGCACCTTATCGTGTACATTATTTCTTTTGGACAAAACATTTTACCATCTACCATGCATGACATGACAACAGATTATTGCTTCATAAGGAAGAAACAGACTTGTACTCATATGTAAAGCACCCACCTCTTTCATGGAGTAGTGTCTTCGTGCAGTTGATGGGAGAGCAAAGGTTTCTGTTATAACATGTTCCCCATCTTCTCCTTCTTCTTCTTTGACACTAGACAGTGAAAGAGCTGAGAAATGAAGTCAATACATTTACTTGTTATTGGAATTTTGAATGCAACAAATTAGGCTGTTTTAATGTCAATCTTTGTTCAGCTGAACAAATTTAAGACACTAATCCGAATGCCAACATTTATGAAAAATTTGAAGGAATACAGTTTAGTCTTAAGGTCTAGAAACATTAGTGTTTTTTTTAAAAACATGGTGAGACTTATTGACTTGCACTTTAATGAGACGGTAACATAAGTCACAACTCAAATTAACAAGGAAACCTAATGACCCATTAAGTTTCACAGAATTTCTTTTACTGACTTTTTAACAAGCAGCTTAGAACATAAGGAACAAGAAGGGTCAGTCACTTCACTGCCCCACAGAACTTAATGCTATTCAGCTGGCTCCAACGTAAGGCTAACCAGGTCTGGTCTCAGGTATTAAACAAAAAGGACAGTTTCATGGATGTTTAAAAGCTTTTTAGACCTCTTATTGTGTTAGAATAGATATATATTAAGACCTTTGATTCCATTGATCAAAAGAGTTCAAATGCTGGTCCATCCTTACATTTTATGCACACTTACTTGAGCTTTTACTTTTTCCCAAAGGATTTCTTGACCGTCTTTCTAATTCAGCATTGTCCTCTAGAAGTCTGTTATCTGCACATAGAGAAACATCCATTACTTTCCAACGTGGTTGTCAAAACAATTTTTTCCTCTTGACATTAGTGCTGAATGCACTAATATTACTTTTTCCTATTCACTTTAAGCCAAAATTATAGACATTTTTAGTTGATCCCACTTTTTTTCTTAGAATAGAAACAATGGCGCTTTGTTTTTAACTGTATTAGAAATTATGCTGTTTCTATTCTCATTAAGATAAAATATCCTTGAATAAATTGTATCTTATAATTTTTTTATACTGTCTCAATGCAGACTGAGCTGCTACATTAAAAGCAGACAATGCGTAAAATATATTGGAACATATATTGTACTGCACATATTCTATTTTTGGAGAAACAACAAAATAGGTGAAAATTGGTGAACTGTGATTTAGGATAATTAAAATGCAGAACTGGATAAAAAAACTGACCAGTTGCATTCAACATCATCATCTTCACAAATCTATCAGCCACCTGAGTAAGTGCCAATTGGCCCGAGGCCATGATAAAAAATGTGTACATTCTCTGCAGTTGTGGCATACAGATAAATTATATTGTACAAATTTATGAGATATAATAATTTACTTCTAAAAATAATTAAATTGCAATTTAAAGAGCTAAAGAGACTATCAAACTAAGGTAATAAAAGATATTGAAATGATAAAACAAACCAAGTTCATCGTCTCCATCTTCTTCTTGGTTATCCAAAGCCTCATGACGAGTAATTAGGTTTTGGCCATCATTAGATAAGTCACTGGTGCTGTAACTACGTCGTAAATGATCCACCAGCTTGGATTGACCCTGAAAAGCAACAAGTAAGGCTTCCTACAATAAATTGAGTCTAAAAAAATAAAAATCGCTGTGCATGTATGTGACCCAAATAATTTGTCACAAGTTCATATTCAAGTGAGCTAAAATTTGTTACAGGACATTTCAAGATGAGAATCCATTTTAGCTCAGCCAAAGTGAAATGGGTGACAATTATTAATTTTAGGTGAAAATAATAGTAACATATGAAGAACTATTTAATGAATCTTTTTAAGTATATTGCAGTATAAAAATAAAATTATGTGTAAAAGAAAACACTCACTTTCTAAGTACATAGTTACGTAAAATCTAATATATTTTTTGTCCTTTGAATTTTATGACTTAATAACTGGATACAGAATGTTTTAGAAATATAATTGTTATTTTTTTATGGTTTGCACTTACCATAATTGCTGTTTTCATGACAGCTTGTAATCCTTTAGTTCCTAGAGTCAGCAGTGTACTGTAACCTTGTTTACTTGCTTGTTCTATCATTTCATCTATATCCTGACAAAAAGATTTTATCTTCTGTTAAGTTACTTTTAAAATAATTCTTCTGTGTACAGAAAAAAATTATTTAATTTTTTTTTACGGACAACAAATAGATAGAGAAACTACAAACAAAAACAAACAAACAATTATTTTTTGGATTGTACAGCACTTTCATTTTGTATTTTATCTTTACTTTCATGAATATTACCATAGCATAGGTGAATAAAAAAGTTGGGGAAGCTTGAAAAATAACATAAGTTCTTTCAATGTATATTTCTCAATTTATTCTAGCAACCGAAACTGATAAGACTAAAACAATTTGCCAAAGACAACCTCACTTTTAATCCCAGACTGAGCTGCTACATTAAAAGAAGTTAATATGGTGGCCTTACCTTTTCCCTGCGAGCAAGTTGCGGATGAACAAACTTTTTGAATAAGAAGCTGGAACCCTGAGTCATTGGCGACAGCATCCATAATACAAAGACAATTTTTAACTCATAGTAGAAAGGTAACCTAAAATTATACAAGTGAAGGAGTGTTTAATTTGTTTAAACATATTACATTATAATCTTGATATTAGGTCAGTGTAATTTTACCTCAATATATTTTCATTGCTATTTTATTAAATATAGCTAGATATGACAATTTAATAAAAATATAATAAAAAAAAAACATTTCAAACGAAGGAAGCATAAAATTTTTTAAAAATTAAATAATTTGATTAACATACAAAATTTGTTTAACTCATTGAAAAATAGTTAAATCCAAATGCTTAATTTCTGACATTTCTAAAACAAGAGTGCTATTATTTAAAATAAAATATATTTTAAATTGTTGATAATATCAGCTGAGATCATTTTGGAATAAAATATAATGATTTAATTCAAATAGATTTGGAATCTATTGTGTAGGTTTTAATTTTTTAAAATTTTATGATACATTTTCATATTTTAAAACTTCACAAATCTCCATAAATGTATGAACTTAAAAATATATATATTATATTTAAGGATTAAATTATATGATTCTTTGAGTTTTAACCTACCATGAAAGAAATACATCCGAAAAGGTTTCTACAGAACAAAACAGGGCAAACACTATCCAGTACATCATCCATTTTACCTTAAAAAGTTTGTGAAAAATATTATTAAAATAAATACATAGTAGTAATAATAATAATGATAGAAAACGTTTGTAGACAACCCACCTCCACCACAGAAAGAAGAGGTAAGTTTAGTTACCGAGTTCAAAATTTCAAGTTGCTTAAATTTTAAGGATAACGTCCCTTGGATCGTCCCAATCTCATCCGTCCCTATCATTGCAGTCTGCGTTTTTTCAAACAAACTGGCGCTTTAAAATAACAAAAGAGAAGTGTGGTGCATTTAGCACAACAACTCTGACACTTTCACAATTCATGGAGGTTTTTAAAAAGTACTGGGAACCCAATAGCATAAGGGTCATAAACTAACAAAAATATTTGATTTGATATAAAATGCAATAAAGGTACCGTACATGTTCCTACTTTTTCAATTAAAATAAAATTTTCACCGCCAATTTTAAAATGACCTCCTTTTGCAAATGTTTGTTTGTACAGTGTAAAAGTTAAAGTTTTTTTTTTTTTTTTTAACTTTCACTACACGTTTTATTTCACCGAAAAAAACACATTCAATGAATTAAGTAAAATCTGAAGATTTTCGCATTGCGCTCTTACACAAAAAAAAAAAAAAAAAAAGAAGAAAAAAAGTGATTTCATCGACAACGTGATACTGTAGGTCCACTTTTGCAACCTGATGTCATAAGTCAAAGTTTAAGAAAAGGGTATTAAGTTCTTCGATCACCAAGGGCTGCATTGAACGATGTACGGTCAGTTTTCAAATATTGCCCAGCATTAATTGTTTACTAAGAATTACGAACAAATTTGTGAATGTTAGTTTTTCCTTCTCATAATGCAAACAAGTAGAGCATTTTTGTTTTCACAGATAAACGTCACCAAAGAGCAGAACAAACTTGATGTGAAGTTTGCGAATGCGAATACAATACAATTTTAAGTTTACGACCCGCTCGAATTTTTAGAGTTTTCTCTTAAGAAAGGAAGAACTTTTGCAAGAAATAGCGAGCTCTGAGAAGTATGTAAAATACCTAATCAGTGTAAACGTTAAGCTGTTAAAATTATTTTTTATTGGGTAAGTTTTAAGCATTCTTTAACAGTTGTTGGTTTGTTTCAGTCTTTCTTTATAATAATAATAAATTTTAAATTATTTTCTACTTTTTAGGGCGTTTTAACTCGTCTTTAAAAGAAAGCCTTATTTTTAAGGTTTTAAATATAAAAAAAATATATATAAAAAATACATTAACGATTTTATACCTACTTGCTTTTTAATCTAGTTTGTAGATGGAGCGTTTATTTCTTCGTTAACACACGGAACATTTTAAGATTTCTCGTGCAGTGATCACCCGGTGAGCGGCTGTAAAACTAGGTCAACGGAGGCGGGTTGATACTGTTGCTCAAATTATAGTTTTTAAAAAATTAAGTTTTATGCCAGGGTAAAGAGTAAAAGTCACTTGAACCGGGATTTTATTAGAATTTGAATTTTTTAGAGTAAATAATTCTTTGTCGATAATTTAAAGCTTACGATTTTAATACTAAAAAGTAGAAAATAAAATATTTTAAATTCTTTGAAAAAAGATTTAAAAAAAGAAAGAATGAAAGAAACGAAACAACTAGTTCTATCAAAGGCGAGTTAAAAACGCACTAAAAGTAGAAAAAAAAATTATTACGCAAAGCAAGTCTGTTCAGAAAATATTTTTTTAAAATTAATCAATTAATAAAACCTAATTAAGTTTCGTCTACTCTCTACATTCAATTCGAATCATTTGGGTTCTAAATTAATTTCTACTCTTAGTGCCTCTTAAATCTTGCACGACTTTGATAGAAAGTCTTTTTTTAAATTTTAAAATTTTGTTGTTGTCCTTATGAGGTGCTTGAGAGTCAGGGGACAAACGCAAATATTTGGCTGCCACGTGTGTGGGGTCGACCGATGACAGCGGAACTGAAAGCTGACCACATGCATGCACACGCTATTTTCAAAGCCACACGTGGTTTTGAGACGGCCCCTACTGTTTACCCCGCGCTTACAAAACCTTGCCCTCTTAACCACGATGGCCACCAGCTCTTTAGCATGGCCTTGTTCAAAGGATTGTGTGTCGTCTCAGGCTAAAGCAAGAGCTGGTGGCTTGATTAAAGCTCTCTTGTATATACCAAAGAACGTGCTTGTGCGCGGTGTGAGTGCATACACTGCCGATGCGTCGAAATCTTAGCTAAACCTCCTCAAACCTCATTTAACACAGACCAGTTGCACAAGAACAGACAACACATTACATTACGTTGTACAACACAAGCACGCGTTGTTATTGGTACAGGGCTCTGCACACGTAATTTGCACATGTTGCATGTTGGCGGGAGGGATTATGATATTACATAACAACATAGAAATAGGGACTTAAATAGATGGCACAGGGACATTATTTTGCCTGCGTGCTATTATGCACGGAATTATGCATTCATATATTGACCTTGAACAACAATTTTTTTAAAAGGGCGTCTTCTTAAAACTTAGATAATCATAAGGTTTACATTTATTATTAAGAAGACTAAATCAAAAAAGCATTTTAGTTTGGGTAAACTTTTATACCGGTGCTCTTATATGTTGATTAAGACGTCTGAATGAGAGCCCATCTAATACAATTGAAAGGTCACGAGTATTTTAATACTATTTTAATTTTGTTATTTAGGGCAGCCTTGGGTTATTTTTCGTGTCACGCTGACGGTCTGGCGAAGAAGAGATGAGTCACAGTGGCAGGGGCTGTCTGACCCAAAGTAGTAGACAGAGACAGATCAAAAATATTCCCAACAAGTATATTAACAGGCCCGTGACCAATAAGACATGGATTCTTAACATGTGGGCACTGCGGCCCTCGCCCCGTGGGGTACATTTCCTACGTAGTTTTATTACATACATTTGAGAACTATTGGAAGAAACCGTCCGTGGCCTTCATCTGATTGACAAATCGGTCCATTGACTAAAAAAAAAAAGGTTAAGAGCCCCAGCATAGAGGTGTGGTGGATATAAAAAAAACACCAGGACACAAAAGAAGTATCGCATGTAAGATACATGAGTGTCATACACCACCATAGGCTTTAATTTATTGAAGGAAATCTAAGTTTTAATGAAAATGAAGTGCTATAAAATTTGGTTCGATTAGTGTACTAGATGCCGCACGGTCTCCGAATCAATGCTGAGTCTCTAAACTCACCAAGGATGGGGAGACAACAAAAACAAATATGACACAGTTCAGTGACACTGGCTGGTTTTGCTGAGGAGCAATTAGTTCCGGACCATCGTGACAGATCTGCATCATTGAGCCTAAATAAGTGCATTTTACAACGCCGAATCGGCTTAACGAACCTTCGACTTTATTATTTAATAGCAATGTATAACCTTAAACGGCTTAAGTAATAACAATGGAAGCTTTCCACATGAAAAAAAAAGGTTTTATAGCGTAACCGAGTGTTTAGCCTAGTATAAATCACAAATAATGATCGTTGTGTGCATGGCGATAATCTGATCCAATCTCTTGACATTTGAGAGGGGAGTCGGTTTTGTTTTCAAATAAAAACTTAAGAAAGAAGAAGAAAAAAAAAAAGGGGGGGGGGGGGGCTGATAGGCAATTTCAAAATAATCATGGATAGTTCTGCAAGTTTAGTAGCGTATAATATTATTTCTACTCCGGGCGCTCCTTTAAATGAATAATTGATCAACAAATACTACTATGTGAAGTGTACTTTTAAAGAAACGAAAACGTATGTCGTGGCTAGACTCATTGGATTATATGATTCGTTTGAGATTAGTTCTGATTAGATTATGGCACGGTGAGTGGGAGAATAGGTTGAACAAATAATTCACAATTGTACATGAAATAACCGGTGAACTAACAAAGACAAATTGATTTGGTACTCACATATTCTTTGACATTCTTGGTCCTCACAGCTTTATACGAGGCGTAGGCCGGATAGAGTGTGCCGAAGACAAGTCTGAAAGTGACATAAACATAGGGAGCTATCAGTGATTCAACAACGAGAAATGTGTCACGACAAATGCTCGACATCTCTGGCTGCCTCGGGACAAAATAGTGACATGGTATCACACAGAGTCCTCACGCTGCAGGTCATTCTGATATCAACATGGTATCACATAGAGTCCTCACGCTGCAGGTCATTCTGATATCAACATGGTATCACACAGAGTCCTCACGCTGCAGGTCATTCTGATATCAACATGGTATCACATAGAGTCCTCACGCTGCAGGTCATTCTGATATCAACATGGTATCACACAGAGTCCTCACGCTGCAGGTCATTCTGATTCAGATAGCGCTGGAACACAACATCAAGTCCTACAGGTGGGTGTCATTCTGATGCAGCTGCAACTTACACCAAGACATATCGTTGTATGTCATTCTGATGTAGCAGGAACCAACACGAAGTCCTACAGTTGCATGTCATAATTCTGATATTAGAACCGCAACTGTCATTTTCACGGTATGAGTTCTACGCATCCAATCTCATTATAATGAACTAAAAACTATGATTGGTTCGGCCGTGTTGTCATGACCGTTAATAAGATCCCTTAAAACACAAGAACAGCGCCGAGTCTTTCTGTGTGCTTTCAAGTGAGCTTTAGCAAGCCGTCACATTTTTACCTTACTATTCTCTCCGCACAAATACATTAAATGCCATCAACTGTGTTTATATTTTAAGAGGGTTGACAGTGGCGTAGATAGGGTCAGTGCATCCGGTGCTGGCCATGCAGCATGTTTTTAGCCCCACTACCACAATATAAATTCTGCAGTTGGCAGAAAATATCGGCCCCCACCCCATGTAAAAAAGTTTAAAAAAGTGCCACCCGGACAAAACTCCTCTCCACCCCCCTTTTCATACGCCCCTGGGGGGTTAACAAGCCAAGCCCGAAGCGCATTTAATGAGGGACATCACTTAGCCTTTAGTTTTATATACATTCAGTAAAAGTTCAGCTAAGCCTATCACTTGCTGCCTCCAAAAGGTACAAGAGTATCGTAGCGACTAGGTCAGCTTACATTATTCTGCTTGTTCTTACTATACCAACTGACACTATTCGTCTTGTTCTTACTATACCAACTGACACTATTCGTCTTGTTCTTACTATACCAACTGGCACTATTCGTCTTGTTCTTACTATACCAACTGGCACTATTCGGCTTGTTCTTACTATACCAACTGACACTATTCGTCTTGTTCTTACTATACCAACTGGCACTATTCGTCTTGTTCTTACTATACCAACTGGCACTATTCGGCTTGTTCTTACTATACCAACTGACACTATTCGTCTTGTTCTTACTATACCAACTGGCACTATTCGTCTTGTTCTTACTATACCAACTGACACTATTCGGCTTGTTCTTACTATACCAACTGACACTATTCGGCTTGTTCTTACTATACCAACTGACACTATTCGGCTTGTTCTTGCTATACCAACTGACACTATTCGTCTTGTTCTTACTATACCAACTGACACTATTCGTCTTGTTCTTACTATACCAACTGGCACTATTCGTCTTGTTCTTACTATACCAACTGACACTATTCGGCTTGTTCTTACTATACCAACTGACACTATTCGGCTTGTTCTTACTATACCAACTGGCACTATTCGTCTTGTTCTTACTATACCAACTGGCACTATTCGTCTTGTTCTTACTATACCAACTGGCACTATTCGGCTTGTTCTTACTATACCAACTGGCACTATTCGTCTTGTTCTTACTATACCAACTGGCACTATTCGGCTTGTTCTTACTATACCAACTGGCACTATTCGGCTTGTTCTTACTATACCAACTGGCACTATTCGGCTTGTTCTTACTATACCAACTGGCACTATTCGTCTTGTTCTTACTATACCAACTGACAATATTCGGCTTGTTCATACTATACCAACTTTCACTATTCGGCTTGTTCTTACTATACCAACTGACACTATTCGGCTTGTTCTTACTATACCAACTGGCACTATTCGTCTTGTTCTTACTATACCAACTGACACTATTCGTCTTGTTCTTACTATACCAACTGACACTATTCGTCTTGTTCTTACTATACCAACTGGCACTATTCAGCTTGTTCTTACTATACCAACTGACACTATTCGTCTTGTTCTTACTATACCAACTGGCACTATTCGTCTTGTTCTTACTATACCAACTGACACTATTCGTCTTGTTCTTACTATACCAACTGACACTATTCGTCTTGTTCTTACTATACCAACTGACACTATTCGTCTTGTTCTTACTATACCAACTGGCACTATTCGGCTTGTTCTTACTATACCAACTGACACTATTCGTCTTGTTCTTACTATACCAACTGGCACTATTCGTCTTGTTCTTACTATACCAACTGACACTATTCGTCTTGTTCTTACTATACCAACTGACACTATTCGGCTTGTTCTTACTATACCAACTGGCACTATTCGTCTTGTTCTTACTATACCAACTGACACTATTCGTCTTGTTCTTACTATACCAATTGACACTATTCTGCTTTGTTAATTAATATGAAACAAGACGTAGTCAACTACAAAAGCTAGGATAAGCTACCGGACGTAGATATGCTGCCCAGGCCCAGGGCGTGACGAACGGGCGACCACCCAAAAAAAGGACGTTTTGTTCATAAATTTAATGTTTACTTTCCTGTTGTAAAGAAAACTAATTATTGTTTTAAAATTATTTTTTAAAAAACAAGGTAAACAAACATTGGTTCTTGATTTAGCGAAAAATCGTTTAAAGAAATGTAAAGGGGACGTATGCATATTCTGAAAATGTTTGAAACATTGTATTTCTTGTTTTTAAAACAGTATGTATTCAGTCCAATAAAAAAATTAGTTTTTTTTTTTTTTTTTTAAATTGAAAAGGGACATCGGTTTGTAGATATTTCGGACTTAATATCTTGGGGGAAAAAATTCCATGAAACTTAAAAACGCCATTAAANGCTACCGGACGTAGATATGCTGCCCAGGCCCAGGGCGTGACGAACGGGCGACCACCCAAAAAAAGGACGTTTTGTTCATAAATTTAATGTTTACTTTCCTGTTGTAAAGAAAACTAATTATTGTTTTAAAATTATTTTTTAAAAAACAAGGTAAACAAACATTGGTTCTTGATTTAGCGAAAAATCGTTTAAAGAAATGTAAAGGGGACGTATGCATATTCTGAAAATGTTTGAAACATTGTATTTCTTGTTTTTAAAACAGTATGTATTCAGTCCAATAAAAAAATTAGTTTTTTTTTTTTTTTTTAAATTGAAAAGGGACATCGGTTTGTAGATAGTTCGGACTTAAGATCTTGGGGGAAAAGATTCCATGAAACTTACAAACGCCATTAAACTGTTGTGTAAGTGTCCTCTATTACTTCTGTTGCTGTAAAATTATTTTCCGACTACTGCGATCGCGTATAGTATAAAGTTTTACCAAGTGCCAAAAGAACTTTTTCAAATTATTTTTTATAAAAACTTAGCTCAGCCATCAACTTCTCAGGGTCGACTGACTAATTGACAATTGAACGAGACTTTGTTACCAGCCTTGATGATGAAGAACTCACTCATTTATCTGTTTAATTAGCTGCCCGTGAACCGTCTTATTTTTTTTTAAAATTACTTTGGTTTACGTGGACATGATGCAGTGTATTTTTAAGCTTAAGAGCGCACAAGCTCATTCAGCTTTGTGTTTTTTGGACTTTGTGACTACTGTTACGGTACCATGATATTAGCAACAACCGACCTGCTAGGAATAATTCGGCTCAGTACAATTCAACGGTAACAGTAAATTTTTTGATAGAGCTTTCGAAAACTAAGCGAATGAACAAGTACCCGGTATGACGTGTCGCTTTATGACCAGTAAGTCCCTGTATGACGATGACATGTCTTAATATCATATTGGCCGGGGTATATAAAGTCAAAGGCACAAGGCCCCGCACCCCCGTAGCGCCGACCCTGAGCTGCCTTGACCCCACGTACTCGCGACTGGTATTTTTGGTGCATCACTTTCAATGTTTGATTTGGCTGTGACTTAATTATATTTTTCTGTGTACTATGTTTTTAAATCTGATAAAAAAATTATTTTAGATATTTACAGATATATTTATTAATGGTTATATTTGGTTTCGAAACTGGTTTCAGTAAGATCTGGGTTTTTATATTGGATTTCAGTATGGATTTCCGTCTAAATTTAATATTGCAAAAAAAAATATATTTATATCCTTTTCGGGTTTAAAAAATCGGTATCTCTTTTGAAAGTCCTGATAAGTATGTGGCTTTTAGGAAACTAGGTGTGTTTCCTGAACAATCAAACAAATTCAATATCCATCAATCAAACAAATTCAATATCAAACAAATTCAATATCCATCAATCAAACAAATTCAATAGCCACCAAATTGATTGAAGCTAATTTCGACATATCGGACTACATGTTGACTAACGTCTATCATATATCACCCCACCCCAAAGCTCGTTCTACAAAATAATCCTTGTCAGACCACTGAGACGACCCCTGATTTAACTGCATCGACCCGGAGAAAGAAGCAGTATCGATTTTTAGGTTCGGCTCCCACTCCGAGTTAGGCGAAGCCACCTCAATGCTGTGTCTCCTGTCTCTCGATCAAACGAACTGGTGGCCCAGCTAACAACACTGTTGCGTTAACATCCTTTAGCAACGGGGGACACGGAATTACAGATGATATACCCACAGGATCTTGGCTGATCTTATCATAATACATCAAACTAAATTACCTAAATGTGCCGGTTGAAATTAGATAGGGGTGGAGGGACGGGAGAGAGCGAGGGAGAGAGAGATGGAGAGATAAAGAGGCACATACAAAATATTTTCTCATCTTTGAATTTGTTAAAATCTGTCGTGGGTTTGGGACGTACTGACATAAACAAGATTCAGCTGTTGCAGTCAGACACTAAAATAATCCTTCGATGCAATAATATATCAAGAAAGAACCTTCGTTTGTCTCGGAACATTACTAACACAACTATAGTTCTGTTTATAGTATGCAGATATTTTGTTCCGATGAACTGCCCAAATTTTGCCCAGAAAGGAATAGAAAAGAATTCTTCAAGTTTATATCAAGGGTAACACCAGACTGACTAGCTCAACTTTCAGGTTAAGGTAACGCCAGATTGACTAGCTCAACTTTCAGGTTAAGGTAACGCCAGAATGACTAGCTCAACTTTCAGGTTAAGGTAACGCCAGAATGACTAGCTCAACTTTCAGGTTAAGATAACGCCAGAATGACTAGCTCAACTTTCAGGTTAAGGTAACACCAGATTGACTAGCTCAACTTTCAGGTTAAGGTAACGCCAGAATGACTAGCTCAACTTTCAGGTTAAGGTAACGCCAGATTGACTAGCTCAACTTTTAGGTTAAGGTAACGCCAGAATGACTAGCTCAACTTTCAGGTTAAGGTAACGCCAGATTGACTAGCTCAACTTTCAGGTTAAGGTAACGTCAGGTTGACTAGCCAAACTTTCAGGTTAAGGTAACACCAGATTGACTAGCTCAACTTTTAGGTTAAGATAACGCCAGAATGACTAGCTCAACTTTCAGGTTAAGGTAACGTCAGGTTGACTAGCCAAACTTTCAGGTTAAGGTAACACCAGAATGACTAGCTCAACTTTTAGGTTAAGGTAACACCAGATTGACTAGCTCAACTTTCAGGTTAAGGTAACGCCAGAATGACTAGCTCAACTTTCAGGTTAAGGTAACACCAGATTGACTAGCTCAACTTTCAGGTTAAGGTAACGCCAGAATGACTAGCTCAACTTTCAGGTTAAGGTAACGCCAGATTGACTAGCTCAACTTTTAGGTTAAGGTAACGCCAGAATGACTAGCTCAACTTTCAGGTTAAGGTAACGCCAGATTGACTAGCTCAACTTTCAGGTTAAGGTAACGTCAGGTTGACTAGCCAAACTTTCAGGTTAAGGTAACACCAGATTGACTAGCTCAACTTTCAGGTTAAGGTAACACCAGACTGACTAGCTCAACTTTCAGGTTAAGGTAACACCAGACTGACTAGCTCAACTTTCAGGTTAAGGTAACACCAGACTGACTAGCTCAACTTTCAGTTTAAGTCAGCTCAGTCATAGCAGATATTTTTTTAAATCTCCAGATTTTGTCAAAGACATGTCAAAAAACGAACGGATATATTATGGACTAAGATCGCAGTCCTCATTCTTTATAAATAGAGAAACCTGTTGTGAGGTATACTGTGATCAAATATAAACAATAAACAATGTGGGTATAAATGACTAGTACTAGTACAGAAAGAACAATTTCTATCAATCTTGATTGTTTTTTTCTTCTGTATTCCACTCTTTATAAACGCAAAGATTCAACCCTTCAGCACCGGGAATAATGTTATTTCACTAACTTTAAATGAAAACATGTCAAATGCGTGGGACACAATTTTTTAATAATATAATGATATCGTACCGGGTAGCTTTAAATAACGTTTACATTATTAAAGAATATGCTGTTTATTTTATTATTATTTTTAAAAAGTTTACAGTATGAAGGTACGGTATGTATCTTAATTTCTTCGGGGTGGGAGCAGGGGAGTTTAAAAAATGTATTGATGTTCTGTTGATGGGTTTAAACTGACTTCCAATTTCGGAAGAAGCCAGAAATTATGAAATTATTATAGTATTTATGAAATTTATATATTGGAAATACCCAATGAATCTGAAATACCGGTATAAAAATGTTATATCTATTGGTCCATTCAAATAATTGAAATAGAAGGTTTCTAACAATTTTAACGAAAGATATGGTTCATACTCTTCTAATGGCATATTATGATTACACCAAATAATTTTATTATTTTAAAATACGTTGCACATCTAACTTTCATAAAAATAGGTATTCACGAGATTTACAAGATTCAGAACTCGGCACACGAAATAAAACAGTATCCACCCAACTTGCTCATGGCTGGTTTTTTCTTCTTTTTTTTTCTTCTCTTTTCCGCCTTTACTCAGTAACTTTGTGTTTTCTTCTCTTCTAGCTAGAGAATAGGCAACGCTACCCCCCCTCCCCCCCAAGGCCGACGTTTGTCAAAGGTAACATGGCACAGTACAGTGCTGCCCCACCTCCTTGTCTCCCGTTTACTCATCAATATTAGATTAGTAATTTTTAAAAACAAATTATTGGGCTCCGCGTCTCAGTAGCATTGGATGTGTACACGCTTAATAGCAGATGCAGACACTGTACGCCCGTCAGTCTATGAATAAGTGCTTGTTTACTGGGTGGGGCCCATCAATGTGTCGAGACACGCCGGTTTAGAATCACTGCTATTTTGAACGTGAGCGAGTTTACAGAGCATGCAAGCATCCTACAAGCACACTCGCTTCCAGGGGCTTGGTTATGTTATGGTTCCTATCTCAAGCACACTCGCTACCAGGGTCTTGGTTCTTTTATGGTTCCTGAGTGTGACATAAACTTTCGCTGTAACACATACTACATAGCTTTCAACACTGTCATATAGTTTCCGAAAGACATCACAATAATTGAATCAATAGAGTGGCACCTCAATTTTTAGTAATAATTAAATTAAAAGATAAATTTTAATTACACAACTTGTATAGATCATTACAAAAATCATTATATACCGTAACTTAAATGGTGCTCAGTTTTGAAAAAAAGAAAAAAAAAACAGATTGTGCTTGGGGTCGCTTGGGATGCTAAAAATACTAAATGCGCAATTACCAACTCTCCAAGGTATTTAGTACTCAGGTTTCCAATAACCAATCTGATAAAGAATGGAGGCGATTAAAATATCGACTGGCTGGATGTTATACATTTTAAATTAAAACTGAACAATGAATATCCTCTCAGATTTATATTAAGAGGACTTTGGAAATATTAAATGATTCAAAGTTCAACTATGATAATTTTTATGATCACGATTAGGGAATAATCTATTTACTGTTTTTAAGGGGGAAATAAAAACATGGTCGCTGCTCGTCCACATTCTAGATCAGGTGGAACCTTATGTCCTTACAAATAGTATATAGAACTAATATACTGTTAGCACAAGACATTGCTAATGGTAACTTTAACAATAAGTGAAATTATACAAAAAACACATAACAGTTTTATGAATGTATGCTTGGTATTCACTGTCTTTGGTACCCTACTATATTTTTGTTTATGTCAGTTAGATCCTAAGACTTATCATTTCAAACACACTTTTCATATTTTCATCAAGTTGTGTTTACAAGGGAAAAAATTCATTAACAGCAGAAGCTTTATTTATTATAAATACTAATTGAAGATAATGAAACTCTCTAAAGGCTCCCAGTTAATCGTTATAAAATAAATTGTGAGCGAAATTATTTGTAAATTAACGTTATTTTAAAATGAAATTAGTAAAATAAATCTTTTTTTAATTAAAAATTGTAAACGGAATAAAGCCAATGGCAAAAACCTCAAATAATTATTTCTACTAAAGAAATGCAAAGCCGTGCTTTCTATTTCTACGTAACCTAGAAATTCGACTTTAGTGGGTCAAATACAAAGGAAAGAAAGTAGTCCCGGCCTCAGAACCCGGCCAGGTCAGAGGCGGGCGGCTACACACGACACACTATCTTTAAAATCAATAGACCCTTGGGTTGATTACGACAAAGCTTGCATCCCGTTAATACGTCGCAAAATGCTAACTTTATCCCCCCCCCCCCTCACTCCTCATCTCTAAAAGAGGAATCGGACAAAACGAATCATTTTAAGCATGATAGCAATTGGCGGATTGAGTAATTGATTTATCTTCAAAAACTTAAATGTGGCATTAGTGGGGTCGTCCATTAATTATGTCAACAAGAGAGAGAGAGAGAGAGAGAGGGGGGGGGGGGGGGGGTTGAAATGTTTGACAAGGGGAATGGGGGTACATTAGTTGACGTCAACAATCATGTTTTCTCTATTAAAATGTTAATCTTTTAAAAATTTTAAAATATTTTAACAAATTTAATGAGTGTAAATTAAAATTGCTATATAATTTTTAGGCTTTTAACAATATAAGATTTATTTAATGTGTTTCTGTCTGTGCATTGCTAATGGCTGCTCAGAATGTTAGCACATTTAGTTAATGCAAGAGAAGTAAAAAAGTTGGCCTCTCATCGACTGTAGATTCTATTTTTCGCAATTGACTAGGGCGGTATGTTTGCGGTCACGTTGCAGGTATGGCACACATTAGAGTAGGTAGGCCTATACGATATTTTAAGAATAAGGGAAAGTAAATTGAGAGCAATAATAAAATCGCTGCTTGAACGGATTTGCAAAATCTGTAATATCTATTTTGCACCACAAGTCATGTTGAAATAGCAAGTTCAACAGCACCGACAATGCATCAGAAATTACCACCTGCTCCTCAACAAAGAAGGATTCGACTTATGCAGGTACCTGCCAGGAGACAGAGAGAGAGCTTATGGCAATTATTGCTCACACTGACAATGGTTTTGTTTTAAGTGCTGAATGGCTAGATGAGGATGATGTTGACTTGTCTGGTAATCAGTTCAATTACTATGCCCTTTGTTAAGATAGAGCAACACCTGACAACTCCCTGGGAAGATGACAGCAGCTAGAAACTATGTGACAATTGTCAGCTATACTGACAATAATCATATTTCTATTTCCACAACAACAAAAAATGACATTTATTCTTTAACAACCATTTCCTTAATTCTGCATTATAAAATTTGAGTAAAAACATTTTAACTTGTTGATTAACAAGCTAAAGATGCAATAAAATTTTTTCCTCCAATTTTGTGTTATTAAAATAGATCATCATAAAGTAATATTTGTCGATATATTAATTTATATTATAATTCATTTCTTTTATTTTGGGGGGTGGGGGGTGGCGGTTGTGTTTAATACAAATGTTGACATAATTACTGGGGGTACTGAAAATGTGACAGCTGTTGACTGGGGGGGTGGGTCAAAAATTGCTTACAAATAGTTGATGTAATTGATGGACGGCCCCAGTGGAGGGGACTGAGCGGCATAATATTTATAACAATGAATAATTTCTTCATTGTATATGATATTATTCATACCACACATATTTCTGTTTATATGCAAAATGGTAAAAAGAAATTAAATATTAATCAAAGCAAGCATCGAAAATAGCAACAGCAGTCTGTTACACAACCACCCGGAGGTGGCTGTGAAAAAGAATGTTGCTTATTTATGTCATTATTGCCATATAGCTTCCAAACTATCTGAAAGAAAACTTTCAATATAGTAACAGCAAATGGAACAAGCCAGACCTAACTAAGATTTTCGCACTCTTTTAATTGTATTGTTCATGTGTACTTGCTACAATAGTTACAATCTTCACAAATTTACTAATGTTTTCACAATTTATGGGATTTGTTGTACTTGTAAAGCCCAAAAATTAAAGGCAGTAGCAGGAAAATTTTAAGGTTTTTGTTTTAAATGATAGATGAACTGATGTATTTCCCACAAATTATTATTTTAAATCCTCGTGACCTATAGCCTATAGTTAACATAGTATTTTCTCCTGTCTTGAAATTTGAAAATTGAAAAACTTAATATCAGAGCTAAAAGTAACGTTTATTTAATTGCGTCTTATGTTTGGACATGATTCACCCAAATCAATGTTTAGTTATAACCCTTTTTGTCTGCTGAAGCATTCAACATGCAAAATTGTGACTGTATGTAGTCAGTCTGGCCATATTACAGGGAAGCCAGGCAGAGTGGAAATCGTTTTTAAATGTAACTATCAAAAAGGGATTGGGCTAGCTTCATTATGCAGTACCAACAAGGTTGAGAGCCCCTGGTCTAATATTTTAGTAAGGAGCATTTTTTCACTGTTGTGTTGCAGAGTATTCACAGGTATTCACAAGATTTTGATATTGTTATTATTATTTAAACCTACCAAATTCAGAGTCATCCCAGGTAAGATGAAAGCACGGAAATGACAAAATCAAACTACTCTAATTGACCATTTGCTAGGGCAATAATCCTCACTGACACAGCTGATGCTTTTGTATAAGGAAGATTTAGTTATTAGTGTGTTAGGAAATAATAAGGTTGAAAACCACTTTAATAGTATGACTAAAGTTTCAACAGTGGTTTAGAATTTATTTTTTTTATTAAAAATTTTAATTTGAATGTTGTAACTGTAGAGTTTGCATTTTCCAGGAGAAAGATTTATGGCACCTTGAGTGCTCCAATGAAATAAAAGAATGATGCTTGATATAACATGAATTCTGAGTATCCATAAGTGTTGTACATAAATGAATATTTAGTTCGCTGTAATGTTTATATCCAACAGCCCAAACTTCAAAAGAAAGCTACATAAAATGTTTGTTTTTTCTTTCCGATCACATTGAAAGAATCTATCAGGCATGTGTGCTCAGTACAGTACTATACGACATTGAAGTGGACCATATATGCCAGTCTTGAGCAGAAGCTCAACAACTTTCACGTAAGTGTCTAACACTGAGGTGTTCTGGAATGTGCCAAAATATGTAGCATGTTCTTTACTCTAAGCAGGAGAAGCTTTTGATGGTTTAGCCAATGTAAGGAGAATGGAGGAAGGCTGTATGGAAAGGCAAGACTTATTGAAAGGTCATGGCTGTGAATGGGAGATCATATCTGAGCACTGTTGCAGCTGGCAAACCACAGTGTATGGGGGAGAAGATGCACAAAACAAAGCCCTTGCAACAAAAAAGAGCATTATGTAAGGCCAAATTTAAACAGGAGTCAATATTCTCCTGTGAGAAAGTCACCAGAGACTGCCATTCCAGGATCACCTTCATAAGTTAGATGATGAAGTGTCAACAGCTACTCCATCATCAAATGAAGACAGAATGATGGCATTTTTATATATATATAATATCGAAAATATAATAAAGCTTGAAATAAGAGAAAAGGCTAAATAACAATTAGTCTTAGTGTAAGACGTTGTCATGTGAGTATGGTATGGCAATGACTATTAATTTAAACTATTACTACTGACTATATATTATAATATAAGTGTGTTAGTGTGATTTAAAGTGTTTATTAAGTAGTAGCAGTTGGATAACTACCATTATTATCAAAGTTTGAAATTAAGTTTGTTCACTTAAAATAAAAATTAAAAAATTAATCTCAATCTCAGTTTAACAAATTTAATTTTCAAAAACTTGTTCCAAACAAACTTTCACTTAACACTTTTCTTATCCTAAAACTTTCAGGATAAAAAAAGATTTGGGCTCGAATACAAAAAGGTGTGGGCTCGCATGATAGCTGCATTTAATTTGTTTTATTATGTTGTAAAATATGCATAAATAAATAAGAAATTCACTGCAAAATTATTGTTTTCGTTTATGATATGCCTCAGAGTTTAAATTAAATAATAAAAGTGAATATAAATTTAAAGAGCTTTCTTAACTTTCTAGGTCAAAATAGTTAAAATGAGCATATTAAATTATTTGTCATATTTCAATGAACAGTTTCCGACCTAGTTTATTATTTAGTGATATAAATAGACTTTGTCAACTTGTGTCTTAGACTTAGTAATTTTTTAGTTTTAGTCATCCGAGTCTTAGTACTTAGTACACTGTCTTAGTCATGATGACTAAGTTAGTAACTTAGTCTTGCTTGATTAAACCATGCCATGGTAAGACAAGTCTTGAAGTAACAATTTCTGTGTAGAGTGTCGTATATGACTCAATATGACGTTGTCGTAAGAGTACCAGTATAGTATGGCAGATGACTATTTAATTAAACTATCATTACTATTATTTATTACTGACTAGGCCTGGGCTATACAATACTAATACTAACTTACTAAACTATTATACTTTATACTAATAATAATATTTTTTGGGTGTCAGTGTCAGTGTTACTGCTAGTTGATTAGTCCTAAGCTGAAATTATTTTTAACACTTATTCGACTCAGCCAATAGGCTCATAGGTGATAAAGACACCTTAAACTGATTTTATCTTTGAATACTTTTTTATGACTTATGTATAGTTTAAGAAGACAAGTCACTATCAACATTCAATGATCGATTGACAAAACCAAACCAACTATCGTGAAATTGAAAGTCTTTATTTATAAAGATTACTTAATACTTACATAACAAGCCTAGAAAGTATCGCTGAAACCATCTTCTGCAGCAGAAATATAAGTTGCTATATCATAACTTAGATTCCACACTCTTGGGAGGATCAAATTAACAAAAACATTTCATTAATTTGTCATAGGTAGAACATGGTAGATACACACAATTTTAAATCTCCAAAGCTATAAAGCAGCCATGTTTATGACGTCACTGATGACACGTGACCAAAACATAACCACATGTAGGTCAAGAAATAAAACTCTCCTTGCTTCGCCTAAACATAAGTTCAAAACCTAAGATATATTAAAGTCTATATTATTTTTAAGGGGAACAAAATTATATTTATTAGCGTTTAAAAGTATTATTGTGAAAAAGAAGATTTTAAAGTTTTGATAATGTAGTTAATTATTAAACTGCATATCTTGTGTGTCTAGGAATTTTTATCTTCAAGAGAAAAGACAAATGAGATAGTGATACACTTAGCTTAGTTAGTATGTAGTACTTGGTCTTGCCTGTTGCCAGCTTAACATTATAACATTATCAAATATGAATAATGTTTAATATTTTATCCGCTTAAAATTAAATACATCTAAATTAAATGTTATTGAATTTCACATTGGCCAATCTTATTTTTAACTATGTTTTAAAAAGTTTTAGAACTATTTGTTTCTTAGCGGAACTACACATGTTTGTGACCTTTTGACCTACCAGATGTCAGTGTATTCATGCACAACGTAATTGGGTGTAGTGACATTCCGAGGAATTTCGTGTCTGTTTCTTGTCAAATGCCTTTAACTACAATTGTTTTACCTCTCACTATGTAAAAATATGGCTTATAAAAGTAGAGAAGAACTTGTTGGAAAACGCTTCTTGTCAGTGAAGAGCGAAGGGAAGCTCAAAGTGTCAAAAATTTCTGAGTGGGAATGGCGGTCAGGTTTTGTACGCGCTGTTTCCAGTAGGGATTCTAGCAACGCTAAATTTACAGTAAGTTGTTAATAAGTTTTGTGCGTGTTTTAGTTTTAAATAACTTTATATATCATTATTCATTGAAGAAGTTGCGGCAAATCCCTTTATCTTCCTCGATTGTAGAATATGCTGCGCCCCACCAATCATCGTATGCTCCAATAATGCCAATGACTTGATCAACAATACACTATCAGACTATCCCTATGACTATGACATAATAATAGTAATAATAGTCAATAGAGTACGGCCTACAATAATAATAATGTTAATATTTTTTGTCATTGATTCATGCTCAACTAAAAACACCTCATAAGTATGAGTGAAATGTCTAGGGCAACTACTTAATAGTAGGTCTACTAAACTGATAACGTCAGCTCTAGACTAGAGTCTAGTTTAGGCCTTAGCTAGTTACTCAACTTAAAAATTGGCTCAATTGACGTGAATTGTTAAAAAATAAATTTAAACAGTTCATTAGTCCAAGTTGTTAATATTACCATGGACCATAGACTATTGGGAAAACTCCGATATAGCGTCGGTAATTATATGCCTTGATAGACGGCACCCACTACCATACCAGAAATACTTTAGCAGACAACAGGAAGTTTCTACGTTAAAAGAAATGTAAATTATTACATTGTCACAAATGACCATGCTGGAGACGGGAGCGATGGGCGTAGGTACCGCACAAAGGTAAAATAGATGAGGAAATTGATAGCCTGACATCAGCAGAGTTTATGGTAGTACTGGAAGACATAATAGTTTGGAGAAAAGGGGGACTCCATCATAGACAGTGTGGGAGGGGGTATCACAAATGTTTTGTAGACAGTGTGTGAGGGGGTATCACAAATGTTTTCGATTAACAAGTTTAAATTCGCTGGTGGAAGTGGAATGTTCAAGAAGACCATGGGTAGAGTTAGATTAATTATCAGTAATGGAAAATTTCTCAAAGTGATAGAAATAGATGCTAATAGCTTGGTAGGAACATGAAATGGACGTGGGGGGGTGGGGGGCGAAAGGGGGGGGGGTAAAGGATTTGGTCGGGAAATGTTTTCTTTAATGATGTAATGTAGCAGTTCAATGACCCTGGGATGGTTATAATCACACCAGGGGTAGATATAAGGTGGAGGTTTGGGGACTCTAAGGACACTAGTTGAAGGGATATATACCATATGAACCGTTCTGTGACATAAATCCACAATGGCAGGAAGACCACTATTGTACCACCTAACGAAATACTGAGTAAAAACGACAAGTTAAATGAAGTATGGCGATTGTCAATGCTTTCACCACACTTGCAACAACCTGATTGGGCATTACAGTAGTGTGCCTTCTGCTAGTCGATAACTATCAGTGATTAGACAGTCTGTTGTGGTTCAGAGTAGAATGGTGCTTTAAATAAATTTGAAACTGTGTTAACTACAGCTTTATTGGGTGTATTTTATGTTATTAAAGCTGTTTTGGGTCTATTTTAATGTTATTAATTACTGACGCTATATCAGAGTTTTACAGACTATAGCCCCCAGTGAGTTGATTTATACAATCAAATATTTTCTCATTATAATAAATATATTTCGATATATTAAAATGATATATAGGCGAGCCAATGCCTATACCCCTAAAGCCTAAAGAAAGCCTATGCTAGGCTTCTACTTCTAATATTATTAAACTACTCCAGCACACATGTATTATAGTTTTTGACACAATTTAGGACCTTGAAGGCATTTTTAGGCTTAACCATAGTTCAATTAGTGTATGTGGCAATTTAATGAAAGTCGCATAGACTCAAACTCTAGCAATTTGAGGAAAATATGGTTCTAAGTGTAAAGCCCAGGAAGTTGTCTGCCAATTATTGAAGTAATTAAGGACCTACAACTAGAAATTGTGCATTCATTTAGGATTTTATCAGGTAAGCTAGTTAGGCCAAGCCTACAATGCTACTCTGTACATGAAGGATAATTCATTAAAAGGAGACTGGGTCCTTGGGCTAGTACATTTAACATAAATGAAATTAGTAAGCCCCATTTGACATTAATAATCTATAACTTATTTGAACATAAGGTCTATGCCTACTTTTTAATTACTAAAAGTTTAGTCTTTAAGTCAATTATAAACTAATAATATATTTCTTACTTATCGATTTATCTGAAATTATTGAATAAGGGGTGTAGCTAGGCGGTCAAAATGGGCTTTGGTGGTATTTTATTGGTGAAAATAATGTGTTTTAGTGTTTGGGGAGGGTGGTAGAGTTTTAAATTGAATTAATCTTTTTCCCTTGCTCCAAAAACTCTGATTTAGTAGGCTCATGTAAATTTCAGTTGAACCAAGAATCTAGAAAGTGATTTAAAAAAAAAAAATGTTCCTGGACCAGAACATTCCACAATCTCTCAATATCAGAAAAAAACTTTTTTTTTTTTTTATTTTAGGGTGGTATTTGATTACATTATATATATATTTTAAATAGCAACTTTGAATATCTGAAAACAAAGAGAAAATTAAAATTAAATATGTTAAAATAATTTAAGTTGAACCAAGAATCTAGAAAGTGATTTAAAAAAAAAAAATGTTCCTGGACCAGAACATTCCACAATCTCTCAATATCAGAAAAAAACTTTTTTTTTTTTTTATTTCAGGGTGGTATTTGATGACATTATATATATATTTTAAATAGCAACCTTGAATATCTGGAAACCAAGAGAGAATTAAACTTAAATATGTTAAAACAGATAATCATTCAAAAAAAATAAATAACTTGTGTTTACATCTAGTAAGTGATTGGAATAAATAAGAATCATAATTAGATACTGATTTTAAAATGGACTACTTTTTACCTTTTTCTTCCATATTATGTATTGTTTTGAATACACATAGTCAGACATGGGTATGAAACACCATACTCTATATAAAATTGATTAAACTGTTGGACTTGAGTACGTATACAGCCCTTAAGTGATGGCTCTAAATGTACTTTAGTCAAAGAGTTTAATAAATAAAAAAATAAAAAATGAGCTTGAGATGTAATCCTTTTTATTTTTCAAGTGCAAGTCACATTCGTGAAGCTAATTTAAATGCTAGTCAATCCTAGCATACATTTTTCATATTCACTGAATTTCACTGTGGGTAACTTGGCTGGTTCATACCTCCTCACCCATTTTTTTGTTTCTTCCAATTTTGGAAAAGGACCCCATAAAATAGTAGCCAGTGTAAGCTATATAGTGCTAGAGAATAACTAGGATGAGATACTAAGGCCAGTCTCACTTACAGAGTAATGGACTTTTATTATCTACTTATCATTGTGTTGGGCAAATAGTGGTGCCTTTTACTTTCTGTATCTTTGTTTTATTAATAATTAAATGTTCTTGTAACATATTCATATCTTGTAGAGCCTGCCTAGGGTAGACAAGGACCTCAGTGATCTAAAATAACACTTTCATGTTATGTGTCTTGAGAATTTGATAAAAATTAAAAACCTTCTGTGACCCTCTCATAAGTTGACTACCCCCACTTTTCCCTCTAAAATATTTCCCTAAATTTGGCTTTACAATGAGTTTATACAGTATTTTTCTTCTTCAACTTACTCTTACCTATTGAATTATAAGGTAATTCATGAATCATTTTAAAATTATTCTGGCCATAGCAAGGAAAGAATTGTATTGAAATCTTATCAGTTTAACTATTCTTATCATATTCTTTTATCAAAGTAGATAGCAACAGTAGTTCAAGATGCAGATAGAAACAGTTGTACATTATACACATCTAAGTTTTTAGAACACTGTTTTATGCATATTATTATTATGAATATGTTAAAGAAGCAATTTCTTCAAATAGGAGTATTTGTTTCCTTTTTAAAACTACCTGGTGCATTATATAATATCAATTATTACTCTTTGTCTAAAAATATCTGTCAACTTTATGCATACTTCTTTAATGCACAGATACATTCCCATTCAAACATACAATTATACTTCTCTAATTTACTCAAAATATTGTGTAAATTTACCATATTTATTTTGATGTCTAGGGACTCCCCCCATATGGCGGCAGCCAACACCACAAATAAGTTCGCACCACTGACCGTGGATATCCAGTCTTTCGTTATATTACTTTATATTCTCTCAAACGTTCGGTCCAGTTTTCGTAGGGTGGCATGGAAACTTCCATAGAAACATTCACATGTTTTTCTCTGATCATCACTGATTTGTTGGCAAATATTCTTTATTTGAATTTGTAAAACATTTTCAGAATGTCAACATGGCGAGGCAAAATGTAATCCATTATGAATTTAAAAAGTGAGATTTGCTAATTACTGATAATTGAGCTGAAGCTTTGTACACTTACCCACACCCGATGACAATAAAATCTTTCATGATCAGTAGGTCTCAGGCATGGGCGCCCACAGAAAACTTACTAGGGGGGGGGGCAAAAAAATCGATTAACTTTCCGGGGGGGGGGGGGAAATTTTTTTTATAATTTTTTATCAGAATGTCAACATGGCGAGGCAAAATGTAATCCATTATGAATTTAAAAAGTGAGA